ACGGTGGCTCCATCCAGAGGTATACTCGGACTATACTATTCTTCGTCGAATGGTTCCGTCTGACTTGCCAGATCCGGTATACCCGGAAGATATCGAGTGCGATATCTACTACCCACCTTCATTTTTCGCGAAGCCACCGACCCTGTGGATTCCCCGCGATCCTGGTGGTATCAGTCGACAAGAGGTGGAACACTGTAGCAAGGTGATCCCAACCACAGATGAATATGTGCAAATAGACGAGAAAGGCCGTGTGATGATTAATCTGGAAGAAAGCCGGCTCGTATTTGATGTCAGCCGGCTGAGATATTGATACATTATAATGATACAAGAACATAAGCAAGTCACAAGCAAGTCGTAATTACTGTTTGATGGTTGAATGGCTATGGCGTGGAGGGCGCAAGGCTGTGGCAACTGAGGCGCGAGGCTGCTCGTGCACAGGTGGAAATCCTTAGCGTGACGGCAGGAGCAACCGAGAACTTTCAAATGCAACTCGCACCGCAGTTTGTGAACGACTCCGACAATAATACGCCAGCAAACACATTCGACCACACGCTACCCCAGTACGCTTTCACTTCACAAAGTCGGGCGTGCCCCAAGTGCACATCACCTCGTATTTGTCGCATCCTGTCACTTATTTATCCGCCGTCGATTCGTGATTTTCTCACCATGCGCTGATCGGCTTGCACCCTGTGAATCTCCCACCTCTCCTTCACCTGACCTTCCGCGCGAGTCAACATGGCATCGGCAGCAGTGCGAAACGGCAGCACTGCCAGCGCCCTCAATGGGGGCGTGGTAGGAATAACACCTGCGTCACGGTTTGCCGACATCCCCTCTGCGATCGATATCCCCGTGTCCGGCGGGCTGGACGCCGATGAAGCGGTCGAAGTCAATCTCGAAGATCACCTCGACGACCCTACGGAGCTCTGTCAACTCTTGGAGAATGAGAAAGCTGCTAAAAATCTATGGATCACAATTGCTTTGGCATACGCTAAACAGGCGCAATTCGACCACGCAATTGAAATCTTGGTCAAGGGCATGGGTTCTCTGTCAAGAAGCGGGCCCAAGGAACGTCTGAGCCTCCTGGCATGCGTGGCCTGGCTGAATCTTCTCAAGAGCAGACAAGCCCCCCGAGTATTACCAGAAAATCCAACCTCGAGCGACGTGAAAACCAAAGACCATTATCTCCGAGAAGCCACCGCCGCGATCAACGATGCCCTTCGGATCAACCCTGCCTTCCCTCCACTGTATCTCACCAGAGGCGTTCTCTTCCTCCTTCGAGCCTCCTTGCAAGCCTCAACCAAGGCTGGGTCAGATGCTGAAAGAGCCGAATCTCTTAAACAGGCACTAAAGTGTTTCGATGACGCACTAAGAGCCTCAGAGGGTCGCAATATGATGGCAGCGATTGGAAGAGCTAGGACACTCTACTTGCAGAAGCAGTACGGCTCAGCATTGCAGGTATACCAAGATGTGCTCGCCAAAATGCCCGGTCTCACGGACCCTGATCCTCGGATAGGCATTGGCTGCTGTCTGTGGCAGTTAGGATACCAGGACAGGGCGAAGATGGCTTGGGAACGATCGCTGGCACTGAATCCCGATTCAAAAATTGCGCATGCTCTGCTGGGGGTGTATTATCTCCACGAAAGTGCCAAGTACCCTGCTTCCGACCCCCAGTTCAACGCTCTTTACAAAAAGGCGATGATCGACCATACAAAGAAAGCCTATACTATCGACAAGAGCTTCCCGCTCAGCTGTGCAACATTTGCTAGCTATTTCCTCCTGACTGGCCGCTACGAGACCGTGGAACCTTTAGCGCGAAAGGCCATCGAACAGACCGACATCAACGCGATCGCTAGTGACGGTTGGTATTTGTTGGCGCGAAAGGAGCATAACAAAGGCGATCTGCCAAAAGCGAACGACTATTATAACAGATCGGATCAGGCACGAGGCGGATTGGATCGAGGCTACTTCCCCGCGAAATTTGGTCTCATCCAAATCATGGTCCAGACCCAGGACATTCAAGGCGCCAAGTTTCGACTTGAAAATCTCTCTCAAATCAACAGACATGTGGAAGCCATGACGCTGCTAGGTTGTCTATATGCTGAAGAGACATTCTCGACTCAGAGCACGGCGAGCAAAGATGACAAACAAGCAACGGCGCGAAAGGCCATACAACTGCTCGAGAATGTTCGCAAGACTTGGAAGGACGAAAAGATTCGGAACAAGCCCGACGAGTCAGTTCTGCTCTACCTCGCGCGTCTGTACGAGCTCGAAAATCCGATTGAAAGCCTAAAGTGTCTTCAGACAGTTGAACAGATGCAGCTGGAGAAGATTCCGGACGAGGACAAACCAGACCCAGCCGAGGAAGAAGCAACATACATTGCTCAGTTGCGCGAGAACCTCCCTCCGCAGCTTTTGAATAATATGGCATGCTTTCTATATGGGCAAGAGTCATACTCCATGGCTCGAGAGACATTCCAGATTGCGCTCAATGCATGCGTAAGACTCACAGAAAAGCAGGAGGCTGAAAAGAAGGCAGTGGAAGAAGAAAAGATCAATGCTGAGGATGTCGACAACAGCGACACCGATGCTTTGGTGACTACGATTTCATACAACCTGGCCAGGACCCTGGAGGCATTGGGTCTTATCGAGGAGGCTCAGAAGGTTTATGAAGGTCTCCTTGCTAGACATGCCGACTATACAGATGCTTCCGCGCGCTTGGCATTTATAGCCCTGGAAACATCACCGCGAGATGAAGGGCCACGAAAGATCCACGCAGTGTACCAAAACGACTACGGCAACACTGAGATCAGGGCCTTGATGGGCTGGTACCACCATAGCGCCAAAAAGAAGACCGCCAATATTGCAGAAGATACCGAGAATCGCCATTATAAGCACACATTGCAAGGCTACGACAAGCACGATCTTTACTCTCTTGTCGGAATGGGCAACATCCACCTCACAATCGCAAGAGATATGCCCCGCAATACAGACCAAGAAAAGGAAAAGCGCAGCAAGATGTACGCCAAAGCGTACGAGTTCTTTGACAAAGCGCTGCAACTGGACCCCAAGAACGCTTATGCCGCACAGGGAGTTGCGATCGCTCTGTGCGATGACAAGAAGGCATATTCCGATGCTCTGCAGATCTTCACGAAGGTTAAAGACACGCTACGGGATTCCTCAGTGAACACGAATCTAGGTCATGTGATGACAGAACTTCGGCAGTATCAACGAGCCATCGACAACTACGAGATCGCACTGAGAAAGGACGGCAAGGGTGAAAACGCCCAGTTGTTGGCGTGCTTGTCGAGGGCATGGTTGCTGAAAGGCAAAGCTGATAGATCCATCCCTGCCTTGAACACTGCTCTCGACTACATGAAGCGCGCCTTGGCCACTCAACCAGATTCTCCCCATCTACAGTTTAATGTGGCTTTCATTCAGTTCCAAATTGCACAACATGTGAACCAGGCCAAGGAGACCGATCGAACACTTGAAGATGTGGATGCTGCCATCGCCGGGCTCGAGCAAGCCATCGATACCTTTGAACAAGTTGCTCGGCATAAACAACCGCCATATCCCAGGACAGCACTTGAACAACGTGCTGCTATGGGTAAAAATACCATGAGAAACCAACTGGAGCGCCAACGTGTGAGGCAGGCCGCTTACGAGACCGAGAATGCCACCAAGCTCAAAGAAGCCAAGGAGAGGCGGCAGGAGGAGCTGCGAAAACGCGAGGAAGCGGCTAGAAGACGCAGACAGGAGGAAGAGGAACGCGCGCAGAGAATTGCGGAAGAACGGCGAAAGATTGTCGAGGAGACGGAGAGAATTGCCGAGCAGATTCGGGCTGAGGCGGCAGCAAGAGAAGCCGCCGAGTATACGGACGACGAGGAAACCGGAGAGCGCGTGAGGCGGAAGAAGAAACCTAAGTCTGGGGGCAAGCGGAAGAAGCGAGACGATGAAGATGGATTTATTGAAGACGACGAAGATGGGAAGAGTGAACGAAGCGTATCGCGCACTCCAATGAGTGGATCAGACAATGAAGCTCCTGCGGAAATGCCAAAGAAGAAGAAGCGAAGGTTGGAGAGGAAGAGTGCGGCAAGAGAGACTCCACGACGAAAGAGCGACAAATTCAAGTCTGCGGCTGTTGTGGTGGACTCGGACTCTGAGCTGGAAGACGAAGCAAGCGCTGTTGCGACCCCAGAAGAAGCCGCCGCCGATACCCCTGCATCCGAAGTTGGTGATCTGGATGAAGAGATGCAAGGGTTACGCGATGAGCCAGAAGGGGATGATCAATCTCAACCGAAACCGCCGCCTAGACAACGCAAGCAACTGCGCACTATTGCCGACGATGACGACGACGAGGATGAGGATGAGGATGCTTTCAATGTAGGCACCAATGGTCATGCGGACTCGGCGGGAGTGTCTGCTGAAGCCGGTCTTGAAGATGATGACGAGTAGGCATCAGAGTCTTCCAAGTTCATGTATCTCGACATTTCCACTGATTCGGCATGACATTTGTGAAGGGACTCCTAGTAAAAGTGTGCTTTCTACACCACTGCTTCTCTTGTATGTACCTCTTGACTTTTGGAGAGACTACGCCGACTATGCCTCCGTGGTAGGATGATTGGGTTTCTACAATGTATAACATCATAACACCTTCTATTCCGTTAATGAAGTCAGCGGTTGGGGCAGAAGACCATGGAGCATCTGGGCCGGGAGTTTTTCGTAGCTGTAAGCTTGGATACAGTCAGCGATTGAGTCACTTTACCAAGATGAGTCGTTGCGTTCATTCTGACCAAGTGATAGATCTGCTGAGTGCGAAGCCTCGCGCAAACATTGCTTCGCTTGGCAAGGCTGAGCGACAATGACTCGATTGCCACCAATAACGTCACATGCTTCGAGTCATTTGCTGTTGACAGCGCACCCACTACGAGGCACTGTTCATGAATCTGTCGCCGCGCATCAAGGTGCCTTCTTCGGATGTGTCGTGAGATAACGACTTCATGGCAACTTCACAAGCCAGTCAGGCCCTCATTCGACGGTCAGCTGCGGACGATGTCGCCCTTATGCCCCCGCCCCCCCTCAAGCGCATAAAAAGGCCACCAAAAGTTCTGGACGAGGATGAATATACCCAGGCGTTATCCGACATCATCGCCCGCGACTACTTCCCCGGTCTGCTCGAAAGCCAGGCTCAACACGAATACCTGGCCGCGCTGGACTCTGGAGATGAAGCTTGGATCGTAGAGGCGGCGCAGAAATTGAGACAAGCAGGAGCGCCGGCAACAGGCAGCAAGAGAAGGTCAGCGCGGAACACTCGGTTTGACAGGACCCCTTCAGCAACGCCCCGAGTGGCGGAAGATACGCCGGTTGGGTACACCGGGAGTGAGACACCCGTCACGGTCGCCGGGACAGAGGTTGAAGAGGCAGGAGAGGAGTCACGAACGCAACAACTGGACACATCGAAATACTCGCTGGGCTCCTTCCAGGCGAAATACACGTCCGAGGACAATGAATCATTCAACACTCTGCTCGACAAACAAAATCAAAAGCGCCGTGAAAAGCACGCCCACCTCTGGACCCAAGATCAACGACTCCTCTCTGGCCGACAAATCGCGTACCGTGCCCGCGAAGCCCGACTCCTCAAGGAGCGCGAAGAGGATGAAGCGGCGGGAAAATCTCTGGTGCCTATAACGACGGGGGCGACAGATGCCCGCCTCGCGAAACCGGACTCTTGGAAAATCAAGCGGCCCGACAACACTTTGATGTTCAATGCGACCTCCGTGGACGAGGACGGGCTACAGACGGTGCAGGAGGTCAAGGAGCAAATCTCCAAAGCCGGGCCAAAACACGTCGTCCACGCAAATACACGATTCCCGCCGATGCAGTACGTCGACGAACCCGGGCCCGTGCCCGCTTCCCCGTCCCTCAACACGGAAATCATTGTGCAACGGACCACCCGCGGGGTGCAGCGAGGGGACGGCGATTCTGCGACGACTACCGACTTCCCCGGAAGCGAAACTCCGCGTGTCAACGGCTACGCGTTCGTGGAGGAAGACGAGCCCGAAAACCTTGGCAAGGGGACCGAATCTTCGGCCCCCAGTTATCGCGACCTCTTGGCCGGGCAGGTCGGCGACGGCACACCCAACCCGTTCAAGATCAGCGAGATCCGGAAGAGAGAGGATCTGCATCTGCGCATATTGGAGAAGCAGGCGAGGAGGAAGAGGGAGCGAGAGCGAGAGACGGTAAAAACACCGGGACCGGCTCACTCTCTGTTTGGGGTCGGTGGGCAAACGCCCTCCACGGCGATCGGTAGTGGCGGCGGCAACATGACCCCGGCGGCGAGACGTCTGATGGAGAAGCTGGGAGGCAAGACACCCGTGAGAGCCGGCCTCGGGCTCGAGAGCAGTGCTGGCATCGAGGGAGTCGACGCAAAGGACATGTGGACTCCTGGGCGGACTCCGCGGAGGCGACATGCTCATCCTCATCCTCATCATGCTGGAAAGTGAAATGCTGGTCCTTCTCCTCACGGCATGCGGTGCGGTACGGTTGTGTATACGACGAGTACCTACTAGGTACCTACCAGGTACCTACCAGGTACTAGGTACTACGGTTGGTAAGAAGTCAAAGGACAACCTACTTCATATCTAACAGGGTCGTCTGCGCTCATCTCAGCTCAGCTCATGCCCATCCCGTTGTCCATTCATGGACTATATAATCGTATAGCATACCACACCACACCATACACCATGCTATACTTGCCTGCTCTTCTCTCGCATTCACTCTCTCCCAGAACAATCTTGTTTTGACCTCTCTGTCCATTCCCCCGGGGGTTCGGGTTGTCCTCTGCTCTGTCTCGTCTGTCTACCTGTCTACCTGTCCCTCTCGCCCTCTCTGTCTGTCTCTCTGGACCTTACAAACCTTCTCGTCCCTCTCCACCACAGCCACGACCATCATCCACCTCGACCACCACCAAAAAAGGCGCGAGGCACATACGGCACACAGGACACAGGACACATACGGTGGGGAAGAAACGCTAATGATGGCTTAGAAGACATGGGCATACAGAAAGGCGAAGCACGCAGCATGGCGCAGCGTGGCACAGCAGAGCATGGCACTGCTCAAGGCAAACTACAAAAGGAGGGAAAGGGGGCAATGAATCAACCTAGACCAGTCCAGTTCTGCCCAACCCAGCCTCTGTGGATTCTCCCTGTCTGGTGTCTGGTCGCCGGGGCGTGATGGCACAGCGAGCGCGGAGCTGACACAGAGAGAGAGACAATCGCCAGGTGAACAGACACAGGGAAATCCCACTCAAAAATTGCAAAAAGACGGTGAAGTCAAGTGGAGTGAAATGAGGTGAATTGGACAGTTTGCCTTAGGCATCTATGCTTTGCTCTTTTTGCTCCGCTCTGCTCCCCTTTGCTTGCCTGTGTTCGCCTACCTGCCTAGCGGTCGCCTTTTTTGGGTTCTGACACCTGAATGGTCCGATCTTGTTCTGTCCTGATTCCGGGAGAAAAGAAGGGGAAGGAGGGAAATGGGATTTTGGGAATTCGGTGTGCCGACGCTGGAATGGACCCTGGCTGGCTGGCGCAGTGACAGCCCGTTCTGGGTCCTTCTATCATCCTGTCCCTTGCTTTTCTGTCTTGTTTGCCCTCCCCACACCGACTATTTTGCCCGGCTTCGTACCCGTTCTGAGTGTCTTTTCCTGTTGTACTTCTGGCTGCAGTCAGCTGCGAAAAGGACACACAGAGGGTGCGAAAAGCAAGAGGGTCAACCAGGCACCCAGACTATCAACAAACAGGCAGATAGATACACGGCAGACCCGACGCGGGCCCAGCAGGTACAGAGGCAAAAGACTGCATGGAATCGTGCAAAGTCCAAACACAAGAGTCAAACCCAACAGTCACGCAGCCAAGCGGAGCACACGGGCAGGGAAAAAAAGCAACACAGGCAACTGTGAAAATAGACGTGCAAACGGAAATGCCTTGTCCTAGACCTGGCTGGGCCCTCATTCGTCAGCTCGTAAGACAAAAGGGAAAGAAAAGCCTCTCCGTCCTATGATAGTGCGAAGAAACAAAAAGAAAAAAGAAAAAAAAGGGGGATAAGTGATGATTACGGGAAAGGGCAAAAGGCCCACGCTCCGCTGTCCGCTTCCAATTTCCGATGGTAAAGTATTTGGAACACAACATGAAGGAGTTTCGCTAGTTCTGAGATACCGCTTGAGGGCAGGAGTCGACGGGCGGGAAAATACCAAAGCGGGCAACGGGAAATGGTGTCGTGCCTCCGAAGCGACATGGACAGAGGGGCTGAGTGGTTGTGCGCTGGTGCCCCGGGTCCAGTCGTTGCCACTGCGGCTTCTGATCCACTGGAGGAAGTCCCTCAGACAGGACTAGGTAGGCACTGTCAGAACTGTCGCCTGTCCAAGTCTTGATGACCCGGGGCTTTTGATGTGCAGGCAGGCAGGGCGGGTGATTGTTTGCAAGTTGCAACCCTGGTGACGTCTCGGCCGTGCCAACCTCATCACAGATGGACCTTTGGCGAACCTTCATGTTTCTCAATCCCTTCGGACTGACCGCGTCTACCTCTTCCGTTTTCCTTGCCAGAGTTTGTAGAAGACTTTCGCTTAGCGTAAAGTGTGTCGTCTGTAGCGAGTACTTCGCATGTGATGCGGCTCTGTCCTGTTTTTCCTCCAATCCGGAATTGACCGGTTAGAGCTAGGAAAGGACATGCATAATAAAAGCAGAGAGCACTGGCTGCTAAACTGCAACTAGACTCTAATCGTCTTCACCGGTCCGCGGCCATCTCCAGAGAGCCATGCACAATGACATGACATGTGCTTGTCGAGGCCAGTGACGCGTCAAGTTCAACCCCGCGGAATCGGTCTGGCGGCTCTGATAGCCACTTTCTCAACTAGCTTCAAAGTCCTTTGGACACAAAGTGGGTGAGCGAAGATGGGCAAAAGACTTGGTTTGGCGGACCCTGGTCTCGATCCTGCAACAAACACTGTCATTCACCAATGCTGGCGCTCCGGGACGTCTCTCAATCCTGCTGATGTCGAGAAAAAAAATCACCATTGACATTTCAGGTTTCGAAAACACATTTGACAAGTAGACCGCTGCTAGTGCGGAGACACAGCGACACATGGTGTTTTCCGGGATACAGGCGGCTCTTCTGCCCCTGGTCACTCTTGTGGGGGTCTCGATCATTCGGATTCTCCAGGTGTGCTAGTGTGATCGCGTCAGGGATGCCCCGAGAGAATGATCTCGATCCTCGTGGGTATCTTGAATAACAATCGTCGTACGGGCCAAGGTCCCATGAATCACCCAGCCGGCAATGGCAGTGCTGCGTTTCAGAGACCAACAATGTCCATGGTTGTTGGGAGATGTACGAAAGTACAGCTTGTCTTTTGACCAGATGGCCGGTGACCCCTAGGTCAAGTCAGCTGTAGGTCCACCATGTTTTTAGCTGCAGGCTGCTCGCTTGCCCTATGGACTATGACTTGTGTCATCCCTTTCTGTATAATTTTGGACTCGTCACTTTTGTGAACATGGGTCGGGAAGACTAATGCAAGGCTGCAGATGGTCTTATTTTGTGTAAGGGCCAACTTCCGTCACTCCAGAGGGTCTTTTGGTCTCCTGGCGCCATTCCTCTGAATCTGCAAAGGCCCTGTCTGCCGGCGGTAAGGCCCTGGCATGCCATGATCCACTTGCCGAGTGAAGCCTTCGGGCCCTGTCATGACCTGCAACCCTTCGGGAACTGCGCTTGCTTCTTGTGGGCGTCCAGTGAGAGGGCAGAAGAGACGTGACTGTGAGCAAGAGGGAACAAAGGGATTGGCAGCAGGGCCGGCGAAACGCGGTGGTTGTATGAGGGCGGTCAGAGTTCGTTGTTGCTGTGCATGGAAGAGCGTCGATCGGGGCCTAGTGAACCAACCCCCTCTGCCAATGACAGTCAGTACAGCACAAGCACCGAGGTCTCTATGTCTTCTGGGGGAGATTACTCACAGGGATGAACAATTAGACCAGAAGATGCCGTTCCATCCTGTCCTATGAGCATGAGCACTAGGAGCAAACAAAACGTTGGAGGGGGTTGAGCGACATTGTTTGGTGGTGGAGAATGAGTCTGGATTCTGGCGCAGACCCAGCGACCCTCTTCCCTCTTCCCTCTTCCTGCAGTACGTGACTTCCTGGCCACTTGGTGGCGTCCTGTCATACAAGAACAACATGAACTCAAGGCAACCAGAGTCACAGCAAAACTCTCAAGTCGGCAGGTGTAATTAGACGAGTTCTCATGGTCAGAGCGAGAATGGAGGAGCACAACTTTTCTTTAGCGAGGGCTTATTGAATGCAAACGTGTTCAGTTTGACCCAGCAAAATCTCATTAAGGAAAATGACTCCAAGACTAACACACATGATCGAAGATTATTCTCGGTACCACTAGAAGCAAGACTCCCCAAGACACGTCGACAGGACACCAGGCAACAAATAAGACTTTGAGCCAAGTTTTCTGTCGTACCAGGACGCCGGTGAATGAATAGACACACACAAACTTGCTCTTGCTGACTGCGCCTTTATTACTAGCATTCTGGGGTATTGATGACGAGAGAGAAAACATAGGTAGAAGCGAAAAGACATGCCACTCCCAGCGCGGCATTGGATGGCTGACCCTCGTTCTGTATTCCCGGGATGATGTGTCTTGTGCATGGACTGGGAGCATGGATGCCACTGTGGGTTGTAGAGCATTGCTGGTAGTGTAGATGCAGCGTGGCCCGTTCATCGATACCTGTCAAAGTTAGTATAGAATGGTAGAGAGCACCAAAGCTCGTAACATACCATGGCTATCCATGGATGGTGAAGGCATCTGTGGTCATTCCAGCTTCTTTTCCTCTCCAGGCTTGATATAGACGGGTTTGCAACGGTCGCATCGAGGATGTTGGCACTTTGAGCATTTCGCGTGTAGCGTCCATATGTGGGGGTTCTTGAGGACCACATCATCTTGACTGCATTGGCAGCAGTACCAATAGTTTGCTTCTTTGGGTTTGCTTTGTTTAGGAGGCATGGTAGAAGGTCTTCGATTGTTCAACAGATAGGTGGTCAGTCCGAGGAAGTTGAGAGATTCTGCAGCTGGTTGAAGAAAGAAGGTGTTTGATGCGATAGTAGAGCACAGAGTGAGAGACCCCCCTCCTTCATGGGCGACCTGGGCTTCTTTATAGAGTATCTTCTGCTGTGGGCCTGTCGTGGCATGTCGTGATAACCCTTGCCAGAACGAAAATGGCAATGAGGAGGATTACTGGCAACCCCTGTCTGTCTATCTCATTGGAGAACGACTGGCCATTGGCATCGTACCGCCTGTTGGCTCTTGTGTCCGTCGCACCCAGGTGAACTCGAGAGACCAAATCCCCAAAGTGCCCCGTCGCCTTTTTGCCTTTTCTACATTGCCCGTGGCGGCATCCTCAAAACTGTTCACAAGTTGAAAGACACGGTAGTTGGCTGAGGCTAGGAGTTTGTGACGACTTCGGTGGGGAGGGGCAAATGGCAACCTAGCCCAGGCGAGCTGGTGGGAATGCCTTCGAGTAGAGCGAATGGCAATAAGACAGTGATGAAGCTGTAGTCGAGACTACAACGTAATCCACTTCACAGCCGTCCCCCAGCGAGGATCTTTGGCTCTTCTCTCTGACGGCGAGACCAGGCGCCGAGCAGCTTCGATGTGGCTCGGAATGGGCCATCGTCACCGAGTCTCCATATCGGCCGTGGTGCAGCTCTCCATCCTTAGTCCTTGCCTAGAGGCAGGAGAACGATAGGCTCAAGTGTCGATACAGTGCTGATCGCTGCCATTTGTAAAGGAAAGTGGGAACAAATCGCCAAGGGACTCAGAAGGTGAAGGTTAAGCCGTTAGCTGTCACACGTGGAACACGTTTTTGGTCAGTTCGTGTGCCAGAACCTGGTAGCAAACAGGATCGACATCATGTGGGCGGCTGACTTTCAGAAGTTGGTGCCCATGGACGTTTTGAGGCCGATGGAGAAGCAGCAGCAACAGAGGCATTTAGCATATCGACTAAACCCGAGGCAGAAATGTTGCGTACGACAAGATTGGCTGCACCGTATACCCCTCCGTCCTCGCCAAGGGAAATTCGGCAGCGGCTTCAACTATAGTAAATAAGATTTCAAAGAACGTGACTTCTCCAGCCGAGAAAAGAAGCGGACTCACCGGACACGATTCGGCTGAAAAGCGGATTTCAGTAAGCGGACGCGGAGACGAGATAAGGGGGGGATGGTGGACAGTTAGTTGGTGAGATGAAAGTCCGGATCAGGTTGGGAAATAATGCAGGATGATGAATGCCGTCGAGTTTCCATCGCTCCAGTCGGAAAAGATCTTCAGCTCAGGCCACGTAGAACGTCAGTGTCGCGGGATACCGTAACTATGTTTTTCAAAAGTCCCCAACTCCTGGAAAGGCTGGCGGGTTGCTTTTCGGGTTGGTTGAATGTGTCGGTTGTGGAGAGGGCTATTCCACAACTGACAGATGCCGGCGACAGGCCCAAACTTCAGGCATTGTGCTTCTGGCCAAGTAAAAACTAGCAAGCGGTGGGCTTTTCGAGCAGAGTGACCGGGGAATGATTGAAGGACTGTAAGAAAGGAAGCGTGTGACGCTGTGTCTTTGGAAGATGTAATAATTGATCCTGTTCCTGACACCCAAGCTCCAATGCTCTGCCGACCGGTTGCACTCAAATCACGACGATCCTAACAAGGTCCACCATTTTCGTCCCTGTCGTTTGTGCCAAGACGAAGTCCATGATACGCTCAAAAGAGCAGCCAGGAACCGCAGCGGGGTTCGAGGGCATTGCAAGCCGATTGATCGGAAAGCTGCTTGAGCCTTGCTGGAGAGAGCCTGATTCATATCAGTGAGGTCCAGAGCGCTCCACGCATGAGAGATGGTACCGGTCAGAGGAATTGGAAAAGCGAACCCGAAAAGCGAACCCGGCGTGCTAGTTTCGTGACGGAGGGACCACTCTATCTTGTCTTCTTGACTGGACCCTTTGCTTGATGACAGTGTTCTTGCAATGTGCGCATTTGTTTTTTGCACATTCCGGACACGCGACGATGTGGTGGGCGCTTAAGTTTTTCGCGCCACACTTGCAACACTTCCAGGCGTTGGAAGTGACGTACTCGGGGTTGTTGACGTTGTTGGCGTTATTCCCGTTACCGCTCATTTTGAGGTAAAGCTGCGGACTGATAATACAAACAAGAAGTGAAGAGGGAAAACCTGAGATTCTCTGGTTGACAGAAGCGCTGATAACGTGGAGGAAGCTTCCTGAATTTATAGCGGTGCTCTGCTTGAAGGTCCATCTTGCAGAAAGCAAGCCCCTATTGCCAAATACTTCAAGTTTCAATGAAGGTGCCCAATCACAGCCACAACCAGGCAAACTCTCATCTTTGCGGAAGATGTCAAACTTTGTGAGTAATGGTGCGTTCGTAGGTGCAGGAGCAATGATGCCGGGCATTGACGAAGACCCAAGGAAGGAGTCAGAGCTGTGGAATTCGAATGATCATGGCAGACTGCCAAAGATACGAAAGCATTGGTGCGACGGCTCGAAGGCGCCCAGAAGAGTACAAAAGGACGGCAGGGAAATTTGCATAAGGAGATAGGCATACTCGTAGTCCCATAGCCATTTGCTCGATGAAGTGGACCCAGTAAGGCTCTGGTTGAGGGTTCGACCAGTTGTGTTGAGCGTCGAGCCAAAAAATCTCATCATCCGGCAGAAATATCGACGCCATGACCATTGCGTGTTTTTCGTCTTCTCTCGAGAAGTGGCTGTGACATTTGGCCGCCTAGAAGCCCTCAAACAGGAGGGGCTAGAACGTCAGAGAGGTTTCAAAGTCGTGACCAGTCAGCGAGCAATAGTGTATTTTCCCAGGCCGTGGAAATTCGCCCAATATGACGCTATGATTGGCTGCCTATCCAGCCCACCACCGGGCGAAACTCCCTGAAAGGGAGAAAAACCTCACACGTCAAGGGGGAGGGAAACCCAAAGGCTAGGCCCCAACTACTGGAGCAGCCTGGTTCAACCGTTGTCAGCTCCGAAGGGGCTGAAGTTGATCTGCTAGAAGTGCAGTAGAATCATTCGTGTGATATCCGCCCCATGTGGAGTCACACAAGATCCCAACTTTCATCTTGCTCCTAGATCAATCCATGTTGTCGGTAGCTGAATCCGAATTGGCGCAGTGTTGCATCTGAGTGCCACGTCGGAGACACGGGTGTGAGTAAGTCTGAGTCCTTCAGACAAATTCACCATATCGAGTCAGAGAAGAGGGTAGATAGATCACTAGGACAGTGGATTGGCTGGTCCTGGCAGCATGTCGGGATTTGACCGGCACCCAGTCAACGAGTCTACTGACTCATGCGTGACCATCTGGGACTGCACAGTGATTTGGCTCAGATCGATCACGTCCAGTTCGGCGTGGTACACAGAAACACCCAGTTATCGCGGGAGGTCCAGAACTGAGTTGACGTTGGGAAAGGGATGCCTGGCAGCCTTTTGCAGGCAGCACTGAGCACTAGCGTCTTGGCGTAAGGCTCGGCTGCCAAGGCTGGCCAATCACAGATGCGGTCAGGGAATTTGCTCGATACGTCGCATCGGGCTCCCCGCCACTTTTCCCTCCTCGAAGTATCAATTATGTGGCCAATACACCTGTGTGCGAGGCACTTGGGCGGTGTGATGTCCCTGATTAGACTTTACACCACTGTGAAAAGGCCATTTTGTTCCTTTTCCATTCAGCATTCTTTCATTAAACCCCACTTTTCAACCTGAAAACGCCAAAAGGGCTCAGCCTTGTACAATACACATCAAGTGGTTGACTCGTGACTTTCTACGGTTCGCACTGTTCGCACTGTTCGCCTATGGGGCAAATGGGCTTAGCAGGGGCGCAGTAGTCCCAAGTCAGCCCTGGTAACTTTGATGTCTATCGTTGGAACTAGATACACCATTTCGCAGAGTGCGTCAACCCTGTTCTGTGAGGCACACAACTGAGGTCACGGGACTCAGCTTCTTCAAGAAAAGTCTCCCAAAGTCTCCGATTTATAGCCAGAGATTGGAGAACAGGAACATCGGGTGTCTGGCATTCTCGCACTGCTGCATTTGCTAACGCAGGCACGCATCTACAGTAGAGATATGCGAGACACCAGAACCTGAAGCATCTAGCCAGCCGCAGAGAGGCTTGACCTCTTGTGGTACTTCCTACATAAACCAAAGCATTCATAAAGCAGACAATTTTCCGTCCCACGACTCTTCCGCATATCTTGGCTCTGACAAGGAATTTGGTACCGAGACCATTGTCCCTCTTGCTCGAACGCTCAACCTCTTGGGATCTTATGCGGTCGTGGTTTCAATGCGGCAACGGGCACAGCGCCGCTTCTGACAATTGGCGCAATCCGAATTGATCTTGACAGTCATGGGTCCATGGCCGCACTCGCAGCAATACCAGACGTATACGACGGCATCGGCCAACTTCGAATATATCGAAGGAGTCCCGTGGCAAGTTGCGTATGAGAAGGTTCGTGGAGCATGCTCAAGTTTGCCGGTATCTTTTTCTGGTGACCACAGTGATGCTGTGAATCCCATCTGCTGCTGAGCTCCTGGCAGGGACGGCGCACGCTTGGACATTTCAAGGCTAGACACTCATTTCAGTGAAGTGCAGGCTTCATATTTTGGTCACTTACCACATATTGATCTGTATTAATTTGATGGAATAGTTGTGGCTGTTTCTTCGTAGCAAGAATGATGGGAACGATGAAGAAGCCTGGTTGCAGCAGTAGACCTCTCCTTATCACCACCGTCCCTTCAACATTCAGGCATTTACTTTCCTGGGTTTCCAGGGACTTGCCCAATTGAAGGCTGTGTGATGGCCCTGTCGTAGGTGATGATATGGATACACAAACTTCATCTCGAAGCTGCGCATGAGTTCTTTGCTAAAACGAAACGCTCGCAGCTCACAGAATTGAAGGGAGGGGCGTGGCGCAGGTTTGCAGGTTCTGAGACGGCAAAAAGTGCTGAAATGGAACGAATGAGAGGCCAGAGAACCTAGTGTACAGGACTCAGCCCAAAGTTTGGGAAGCCCATTGGTCTTTTCATGAGGGCCTATGTAGGAATGACTGGAACTGGGGTTCCACTCGAACAGCCAGATTCCCTAGTCAGACCCAAGGGCAGGAAATCTCGGAGCGGAGAATTTCCAGCAACCATGTTGCCCTGCTTGTCAAACCGGAGCGGACATGCATGAGCTCGATAGCACGGGAGTCCAAAGCCCAATCACTTGCTTCACAGGGCCCCGAGCGCGTAAGATGCAGAACTTCGAAGCGGATCCGGGGTTTTTAGTTTTGTTGTAGTCTTGACGCCTTCTTCGAGGCAACCATGAGAGGGGCTTCCAAAGTTGCAATATTCGCCTGAATGGTAGCATAGCCATCACACCACACACCACAGGCGCCTACCTGGTGAAAGACCCCAAAACCTATGTTCTCAAAGTTGTGAATTCCCATCTCGATCATCAGATTGCAAGGCCACTTTCTAGCACGATTGCTCAGCGTTGTCCATTGGTCGGTCATAGGAAGGCTAATGCGTCCACCGCTTGAGGCGGGAAATTGGAGCAGGCTGTTGAAAGAGCTGACACTTCCGCGCCCTAGTATCGAGCTGTCGTGTGTGTTCTTGAGGTTTATAGAGGCTAGGGGCATGATCGAATCATGAAGCCCTGGTTGTGGCTCAGCTATCACCATTGAGCCCACGGACTGTTGTGGAACAACAGTCCTTCGAGCCTGCGATGCAGCGGCTTCGATTCTAATCCCATTTCTCGGGCAAAATGGGCATTTTTAAGTTCCTCAGCCGCTGCGAGGATCGAGACCAGGCATTTCAGATGTGTTTTCACTCAAAACTGTGAACATGAAACGTATGCTGGCGATTGTCAGAAAACACCGTTAGCCTCCCGAATCAGCCGTCGAGGCGGATTCATGATCACACTCCGAGTTCTTCACAGGCGAGAGAAACCTGCCGGGCTTATACTGGGCTTAGCGTCTGCCTTTGGACTGGAGGGCATTGAACCAGTAAATACCAGATTCAGAACCAGATTTTGCCACAGTCGGAAATAGTAGCTTGTAGCTCTCACAGTAACAGGACTACTGCTGCCGATTTGGGCCCGACTAAGTCAATTGGTAAGCGTCTGGAGGTAGGGCACTGCAAAATACTTGTCCACGCTGCTCCGGCGCCTCCAGCCCTCGAAACCCGCCTCCTTCGCATCATAGAGATCCTGCCATACTCTTAAGTCTTCTTCTGTGTAGTTGCCAGCCTGGAAAGTCGAGTCGAAGCGATCTTCGGCTGATATGTAGCATGCTTAAGGACGGGACATTGATGCCTATCCTGCGTATAGATCCGTGCTGCCTTCGCAGGCACGCACTCCTTTCAATATGCGGAAACGGTGTTGCCTAAGGCGATCTCTCGTAGGTCAGTGTCATTTTCGCAGAAAATAGATATCAGCTTGCGCGGAGAGAGATCGACCTCTGCAGATTGATGGCTAAAGCGTAGAAAAATTCTACATGCTCCCAATGAGAGAAGGGTTCCCATTCGGGGTTAAAGAGTGAGCTAGAGATATCCAATGAGCCAACAGGAACGAAGATAGCTGGTCCTCAAATACGACAGCGATGAGGTAAGTGCAAATTCAGGTAGCGATTGAAGGGGGATAAAGGGGAGTCCGAATGAAACCTGAATGTCGCTGACTAAGAAAGTGGTAGCAAAAAGGGGTTGAAGCCTGCAGGCTGCGGCTTGACTGCGTTGAGTGTCGCTCCTTCCTGGCCCCCGCTAGTGCCTACCAACAAGCAGTAGGATCATCGGGAGGTAGACGGGCGAGACGGCCTGCAACCCAATCTCTCGCTTCCGTCGATCCAACCCCCAATCTCCATCCACTGGAGGCACGAAGACTTCATCTGACCTATCACGGGTTCCCACGAAACATTATCAACTCTGTTCGAGATGTCTGGCAAGTACCAGCGGAGAAACCGGCTCCTCCGTCTCCTCCGGGAGCTCATACTACCCGTACCAGATCATCAATTCTGGCGTCAACAATGCAGTAAGGTCATCCTTGAGATTTCTCAACCTCGTTTTCGGCTAATCGATTGGTTCAGGGGAATGGATGGGACACACGCATTCAGCCTGAAGGGTTTGCCTACCACTACTCCAATGCTGGTAAGTGCCCTTTTTCCATGTCCAAGCCGTACTGGCGCTTGCTATTGCAGATGGCTCCTACTAATACTCCAATGTCAACGGCAGTACCTACTATAACAATGGTTACGGAGCCTCGATCTACATAGCTCCCAGTGGCTACGTCTACAAGAAGTGAGGGAGAGTGGAAAACACCAAAGAATTGGGTACTTGACGTGGAAAAGACTTCTCCAGCAAATCACATGTGTTACACTAGCAGCACAGAAGGAGTATTGTGTGGAAGCTTCCAGGTCCTAGACGAAGAACCACATGGTATAGTTAACGATCTCGATCGACCAATCACGACAGTATCAATGAAACCATAGAGGATGATACACGCCAAACAAGGCTGGCCAGGCGTCAGGGGCGAACCATCAAAGGCACTGAACGTGCATCGAATATCTCACCAGTCATGGGCATTCCCGCTCTCTCCACTTGAAACAGGTCTACTGCTTGTATGCGAGTATGGTGGGTGCTATCCGCGGGGAGCGTCTTAGACATTTGAGATTTATGTAATAGCACCTTCGGGTGCCATCTGTACAACAGGCTAACGGGTTATCGCAGCTTCACTGTGATGTGCGTCAGAGTAGCAGACGTATTCTGGACTCAACACCACCAGAACAGTGGGGGTTGGTATTGGTGGGGGACCAGATCAAACATGAAACAACCCAAGATCCGGGACAACACCGAATGTTGCGACAAACGCGGTGCTGCCTACTAGAGTCCTTGCCTGGCGTCATACCACGTTTGAACCATGTAAGCATACGCCTTTAGAGATTTGGACAGCTCGGTTGAGGTCCATGCCCTTTACCACGTCTACGATAGACAGTAAATTGTCTCGTCGCTAGACGTCTCGGTCGGGGAGGGCAGTTGTGACTGGGGCTCTCAGACAAACAATGAGCATTCAACCCGCATTCGCGACTACCTAGGCAAACTCCAGGACGGGACAGCGAAAAGAGTAGAGGACTCGAGGAGAATGTACGGAGAATCACAAAACTGGACTGCGCAGCTACTCTTCGGGCGCTATGCGCCAACCGAAATTCTCCAACCTGCGTGCCTTCGTTTTCCAATGCGCGGGCCTTCCCCAGAGCGGTTGATGACCATCACCGTTGTTTGTTGAGATAATTCTGTCTTTTGTATGGGTGTGCGCCAGCTCTGGAGGCCCCGTCTCTCCCTCGAGAGCTTTCAGGCGCCATGCAGGCACTGGTCAAGCTGTCAACTCCGACTTTCAGGGCACAGCAAGTGGGCAAAGATCAAACATGACAAGGGCAAGGCGGATGTCGCGAAGAGCAGGGTCCGCACTCACCTATCTGCGGATATTATAATGGCCTCGAAGCGTAAGGGACGAACGGGTTAAGCTCATGGAGTACAGACACTAACTACAATTCAGTGGGCGGGCCTGATCCCACCATGAACTCCAGACTGGCTCACGCGATCGCCGTGGCGAAGAAGGGCCAGCTCTCGAAGACTGCTATCGAACATGCCATCGCAAAAGGACAGGGGATATCTCCGAGCGGCCAAGCTCTTGACAATGTGATCATCGAGGCCATGCTCCCTCACGGCGTCGCTGCCATGATTGAGTGCCAGACAGACAACAAGGCGAGGACTTTGACCAGTATCCGGAACATCATCACCAAAGCCGGCGGCACAGTAACCCCCACGGCATTTATGTTCGAGAAGAAGGGCCGCATTTCGTTTGAAGAGCAGGAAAAGATCGGTGTTGAAGACGCCCTGGAAGATGCGATCGAAGCGGGAGCCCTTGACATTGCAGCGGAAGAGAACAGGTTGGTGGTCGAGACAGAACCGGCCGATGTCATGGCTGTTGCTCAGAAGCTGCAAAGCAAGCTGGGAATCCAAGTGGAAAAGGCAGAGGTGGTCTACATGCCGAACGAGGATTCAATGGTTTCGCTGTCCACACAGCAGGAGGAAGAGGTGCAGGCGATTTTAGACTTGTTAGAGGAAGACCCAAGTCTTCAGAATCTGTATATTAATGCTGAGCCTGCGTGAAAGGCTAGACTATCAATCCAGAGAACAATTGTCCATGCTCATAATGAGGAGGCACTGTAGACGGCCCATCGAAGACGGCTGCGCCCTGCAAACTGCGGCAAGACGCAGCTCCGGCGAAGCACTCGTATGGCCAGCGCAGTCCCTCCAGTGTGGCCTCAACTGATGTTGAAATTGGTCAAGAACATCCGATACATAGTCGTCTACTATACACCCTAGCCTTTCGACGCCGTTAGGAATGCTGACTCCTGGTCCCTGAGTCTCCCTATTCTGCCCCTGGCATTGTCGAATAGGTGTGTCTGTTTGTCTCTATCAAGACCACATTCCGCACCCGGTCCAACCACCGACATGGATCCCACGACCACAATTCTCAACTGGCAGAATGCCTTCGAGAACCATCGCATCCCACAAACCCGGGTGATTGAAAAGCAATTGCGGGCCAGTGCCGCACAGAATAAAGATAAGCTGCGTGCTCTTGTTGGGTAGGCTATCTCTCCTTGCCTCCGCCCGGAACGTGCCAACTTTGCAATACTGACTCTCGACTCGGAAAACCAGTGACAGCTACCGCGAGCTTTTGGCAACAGCCGAAGCCATTGTCGTCTTAGACGGACAGACAAGGACTGCAGAGGACAAACTCTTGTCAATCAGTCACAATTGTAGACCACCTCAGCAGGATGCCTCTCCCCGGCCTCCGCCCGCAGACAAAGTGGCGCTGGCTCAGTTTCGCCTCTTGCAACGGTGCTGCATGTCTGTGGCTTCATGCCTTCGAAATCAACATATCTTACTGTGTGCGCAGCTTATGGTTGTCTCGAGGTTGTTGCTGAAATCACTGGGTGACCAAGACATACTAACTGGGAGCCTCGATTCACTACGGAACAAACTTGGTGCATTTCGGCGACAACTGCTTCTGCGAATCGAAGCTAAGTTGATCAGACCTACTTCAACACTGTCTGATCTTCTCGAGTCCATTTGCGCTTACTGCCTAGTCACCAGCAGCTCTTCTGAGGATGCCTTAGGTCATCTGCGTCAGCTGAGGCTTGAGAAGATCCGACGTCAATTGGCGGCCTCTCGCCAGAAGTCCACCTTTTGTCAAGCCTTGCGATACCAAATATTATCCTTGCAGACCTTCAAGTCTTTGACAGGACGGCCCATAGTCGATTCTATCAGTAATCTGCAGAAGAGACCGATCTTGGAGGATCCGTCCATCAGAGACCTGGAGTCTCTAGGCCTTGACCAGATCATCTCATTGATTCCGCAGGAGATACGGTCATTTGTTCCCTACTTCAAGAGAAGTGCACCCACATTCGAGGAAACCCAGGCTAAGCTGGAGACATGGTCCCGAGAAAGCTTAAAGACATTCTCTGATGCGTTGCACCAATATCTCCCGGCGACGGACTCGATAGCAGAGGTACTGCAGTTGCGGCACGAGCTGTATACTATTCTTCTTCCTTTCTACTTTTCGACTCCCGCGGGGCCAGACATCAAGGATCAGATTGCGCAAGCTCTGAACAGCAGAGTGAACGACATTTGTCACGATAGATGTGCTCACCTGGTTCATATCACAACGCTGCTCCTCGAAAATCCGGCTGGCACAACCACAAAGTCATTATGGGATCCAGAGCTCGCACTATTGAATCTAGAGGCTGGGGGAGCTAAGCTCACTACACGCATCCGAAAGCGACACGACGGCCATAATGTGGCATTATCTAGGGCTTCAAAGTCGTTGAATGCGTGGATCACAACCACAAACAGTACGTTTGATCAATTAAATGAGATTTCAAGGATGAGATGGAGAGATGTTGTTGAAGAGCCAGAGGAGGAGGATGAAGACGAAGCCTCTGGTTTGATCAAAGATCTGTGCGAAACGGATTCAAGTCTATACCGCGACAGTCTGCAAAATGCGTTACAGACGGCGTTGCTCGAATACGAAGCAAAAATCACCCAGCGAGCAACCCAAGTGGTAGATGAGCCAGAGTCTGTCTCCCAAATTGTGGCATTGCTACGCGCCATCAGATTTTCGATGATGTCCTTACAGCATACTTTTCCCGAGCAAGCCAGATTCGAGAAGCTCCCTAAGATTGTCCGGCAGCTGCATCAGCTCGTGGCGAAAGAGGTCAGCCTCCAATTATCTGCGTCAAGAGAACGCAGGAAGAAGACCAAGAGATGGAACAAGGACATGTTGCTTGACAATATGCCTTCACCCTGTGCATTCTCAACTCTACGACAACTTTGTGGGATAATGCTGGATATTGGTGGCACCGATTTATGGTCTCTTCCAGTGGTTGGACTGGTCAAGGAAGCTGTTAGATCTCATATCTTCAGTCCTGAGCGCAAGGCCTGGTACATGGAGAACGAGTTCGACGAACTGTATCTCAGTATTGCACTGGGACGAGACACATCGGCTATGGCCAGGGATGAAGCGAATATAAAGTCTGCGTCTGAGTACTGGACAAGGACGAAGTTGTTGTTCGGAGTGCTTGCCTAGGATATGCATTCAGGCACGGCACAGCATATCATGGACCACCTCCTCGTAAAAGAGGAGCGGGACCATGAAGTATTTTAGATGAGATGGGACAATAGAAACTACGTATTTCAACGGAAAGCGATGTATGTACAGGCCCAATTACGCCGCTAAGACCTATATATCAGTATATGTGAAGACTACACCTAGATTTCCGACTGTCTATTGTCATTCCCACATCCATTCTAGTACATTGGTGCGGGAAAAGGTGTATTGGCAAGGCTCTAGAAGGTTGTGACCTCAGCCTCGTAAGCCTGATGCCGGAAGCCGGAAGAACTTTTGATCCGTAGCAGCCCCGGCCCCCCTATTCAACGTCTTCGTCTCACATTCACCATCCCTCTTTTCAATCCTGTCGATCCACGTTGGCGACACCATATTCTCGTGGCTTGGGTCAATATACACCTGCGAAATGTATGCAGAAACCAATGAGGAGCCATGAAAATGATGGTCACGCGGAGTGGCTCACGATAGCCCGTTATCATCTGCACTGCGAACCTCTGCGTGGAGATATCAATTTCACCACATCGTTCAACCCCCCCGCTGATTGCTGGGCATACGTTCAGACGAGATCTTTGCCATAAATCTAGGACACCGAAGAATGAACTAGCACTGTCTAAGCAGAAGGTCTAGCGGGCCTTATCTGTGTCTCTTCGCCTCCGCCATATGTCAAGGCGTGGCATTCCATCTTGGGCAGAGGGGCGCTGCTGCGGCTACATCGACGACCTTCGGGACTGATTAGTCTTCTCTCCAAAGATGCGCGAGGTTGAACTCGAAGACATCACGGGATCGTCGATCCCGCTGCGGCGCTCTTCCCATCAATTCGACGATTCTGCGGAGCTACATTCAGATGATGGACTTCGGAGAACAAGCATCTCCGAGATGCTGGATGTCCCAGGCGAGTCAAGACATTCTGGTGGGATTGAATTGTCATTGTTCTAACAGGGTTACTTAACAGAAGACAAGCCTCTCATGTCTCCAGACTCGTCTGACGAGGATGCTCTAAATCCCACTGCGGCGGACCTGGAGACTCTTCCCCGTGTCGCCGATAACATCCCCTGGCGGGTCTACACGGTCGCCTTCGTGGAACTGTGCGAACGCTTCTCCTACTACGGCACGCAGATTCTTTTCCAGAACTATGTTCAGCGAAGACTGCTCACGCCGACCGGTCGAGCCCCGAATCCGGGCGGGGATACAGACAACAACCCCGGGGCACTAGGCCAGGGCCAGCAGATGGCTACTGGCTTAGGTACTTTCTTTTCCTTTTGGTGTTATGTGACGCCGCTGCTGGGAGCGTGGCTGGCGGACACCTACCTTGGAAGGTAATGCTAATCCCCGTCCGGGCCATGGGCTTATTGGAAGTCAACAATTTCTGACGAGGTCTTTCGCAGATATAAGACGATCATGGTGTCGATCGGCATTGCCGTTGTCGGCCACGTCCTCCTAACCATCAGCGCGCTGCCTCCTGTCCTAGCACGCACCGAAACCGCTCTCCTTTCGTTCATTATAGCCCTTGTCGTCTTTGGTCTCGGGACAGGGGGCTTCAAACCGAACATCTCTCCTCTGATCGCCGAGCAAATTGTGTCAGAGAACCTCCGTGTCTCGATCGACCCGAAGACCGGAGAGCGTGTGATCGTCGACCCAGCCCAGACGTCGGCGAGGATCTACAACTGGTTCTACCTCTTCATCAACATTGGTGCCTTGATCGGCCAGATTTCCATGTCTTACGCGGCGTTGTATGTAGGGTACTACCTCGCCTTCCTGCTGCCGACGCTCATGTTCCTCCTTTGCCCCCTCATCCTCATCCTGAATAAGAAGAGATACCGCCTCACTCCTCCGCAAGGCTCGGTCCTGGGTCCTACGGTCAAGACGCTCTTCTACGCCGTCCGGCCTCATTGGTCGTGGAACCCTCTTCGCACGATTCGCAATGTCCGCCGGACTCCCACGTTCTGGACCGCCGTGCAACCATCCCACGTGCCTTCCCACAAGCGCCCATCATGGATGACATTCGACGACGCCTGGGTCTCGGAACTCCGTCGCGGCGTGAAGGCCTGTTCCGTCCTCCTGTGGTTCCCACTGTACTGGCTCACGTACAACCAGATGAACAACAACCTGACCTCCCAAGCGGACACGATGAGGCACGCCGGGGTTCCGCCCGAGATTGTCTCGAACCTGGATCCTCTGACCTTGATCATCCTCATCCCGATCTGCGACCTGGTCATCTACCCGAGCCTGCGCAAACGTGGCGTGAAGTTGACCCCGATCAGGAAAATCGCTTTGGGATTCTGGTTTGGCGGCGCGGCCATGGTGTACGCGGCTCTCCTGCAGAGGTACATCTACACACACAACGAGTGTGGCTATTATCCTTCCGAGGGTCAAAGGGAAGACCCCAATAATGGAGGCAGTGATGGTGCCAGCGCAAACACCAACATCAAAGACTGCCCCCCAGCGTCCATTTCAATCGCCTACCAAGCCCCGATCTACCTCCTCGTCGCCATCAGCGAGATCCTCGCCTCCATCACGTCGATCGAGTACGCTTTCACAAAGGCCCCGCGCAACATGCGCTCCATGGTCCAGGCCTTTTCGCTCTGCATGAGCGCCGTGGCCAACGTCATCGGCGAGGCCTTCCTCTGGCTCGCCCGCGACCCGTACCTGGTCTGGAACTTTGGCGTCATGGGCGCCGTCGCGTTCGTCGCGGGCAGCCTCTTCTGGTGGTTCAACAGGGACTTGGACGCCGAAGAGGACGCCATGAACCAGTTGCCCCACGGGAGCATGGGACGTGGTAGAAATAATGCACCAATAGAGCGTCAGCGCCAGCGTCAGGGAATACCACACCCCGAAAGCGGCGGCTCCAGCCGCGGCGTGGACACAAGTTGGAGTGATCTGGGCCGAACTTCCAGCGAGTCCCAAGAGGCCCGCGAGAGTCTACTAGCCGATAAAAGGCTTCATTGAGGCGAGTCGCGTGGAGCTGAGTGAGAGGAGGAATGAAGAACAGTCACTTCTACACATCCGACGCTGCCGACGAACTACACTGAGTACATACCGGAGGGCCGCGTTACAGTAAAAAAAACAACAACACACCCACAAAAACCAATCACACAGCACAACCCACCAAAA